CTGAGCCATCTCTCCAGCCCCTCTCCTACATTGTTGTGGGAACATTAAATGCTTTGATTGCTTTGGAAAAGAATTTGGCAGTTTCTTATCTTTTTGGATTTTTTGAGAGAGGGTCTCACTGTGTAGTTCAGGGTGGCCTTTAACTAATTTTATAGCCCAGGGTGGCTTCCAACATTATCTTCTTACCTCAGTCTCCTGAGAGGTAGGGTTACAGGTATGCACCACCATACAAGGCATGGCAGTTGTTCAGACTTCACTTTGGAAGACTAAGGCAAGAAGATTCCAAATTTCAGTCCTTCCTAAATAACTTAGTGAGACCCAGTTTCAAAAATCAAAAGGAAGTAGGGAATAGTAGCTCATATGTGTAATTCCAGCACTCGGGAGGCTGAGGCAGGAGACTTGATGTGAGTTTGAGGCCAGCCTAGGCTACAAAGTGAGTTGAAGGCTAGCTTGAAATGCATAGCAAGACCCTGTCTCAAAAAAAAAAAAAAGAATCAAAAGGGTTTGGAGTGTAGCTCAGTGTAAAAGCTCTGGGTTCAATCTCTTGTATCATAATACAAACAAATAAAACAGACTTCCACAACAATTGATCTAGTACTTTCATTTCATTTTTTTCTTTCTTTTGTTTTTTTCATGTATTTGGTATAGGGTCTCACTATGCAGCTTGGACTTCTAATGATCATCCTGTTTCCAGCCTCCCCAGTGCTGGGATTACAGGTGTGCGCCACCATGCTCAGTCTTGGTTGCAGCTCAGTGCACCTGGGGGCAGGGCTGGCATGGCATGTATTTCCGGGAATCGAACCCAGATCCTTTTGCTTTCCAAGCAAGTGCTTAGACCACTAAACTTGCTGGCCCAGGAATTTCACTTCTGTGTACTTATTTGAGAGCACGAACCAGCAACCTCACGCTCTAGAGCCCAGGGCATAGACCACAGCACTAGATTGCCACCTCTGTGTACTTATTTAAGAGAAACAAAATATAATGTATGAACTCTAAAAAGCTGTGCAAGAAGGTTCGTTGGCAGTTTATACAATTAAATTGTTTGCTGAAATAAATTTTGGTATATACATAAGATGGAACACTACTTCATAATAAAAAGGAATGAGCTATTTATATGATCAACAGAATGGATGAACCCCAAAACATAATCCTGAGTGAAAGGTGTCTCACACAGAAAAGGAAAAAAAATGTATGTTTCCATTTGGTATATGTGTAATGAGTCAACTCACGTTTTAGATTATAAATGTAAATCTTATGCTTTCTGTTGTAAATGTATACTCACCACTGTTCTAAGTTGTTTAGTAAATAGTGGCTGTTACTTGCTGTTTGCTACATAAAATTCCTACCTAACCAATCCCTGTAAACAAAGTCAGATTGCAGAGATGGCTTCATAAGGAAACTAAATGGGATTTAACTTCTTGTAACCTTGGGCTATGCAAGATTGCCTGCAGGTACTTACTCAGGTGCAAGATAACCAGAAACTAAAACAAAGCCCCAGGAAATTTAGTTTGGATAGTGGTCACAATGACCCTGTAAGCATTGTTTTGTGTGAATGAATTTGTTTACCAAACAAATGTGGTTTCATGTTTTAAAAGCCCCCTGCTTCCTGGGCTAGCTGCCTTTTGGTCCTCTCCTGCGTGAGAGCAGACTGGGGGCCCTGAGCTCAGTAATAAACGGCTTTCCAAATTCCAACCTGGCTGATCTGGTTCCTATTCTGAGTGACCCATAACAATATGAAACTGTAGGTTAGTCATGGTGGTATATGTCTGTAATCCTAGCACTCGAGAGACCAAGGCAGGAAAATTGCTGTGAGTGTGAGGTCAGTCTGAACTACATTGTGAGACTTTATCTCAAACACATTTATTTTGAGACAGGGTTTCACTCAGTAGTTCAGGCTGGCCTTGAACTCACAGCAATCTTCCTCTCTCAGCCTCCTGAGTGCTGAGATTACAGGTGTGCACCACCGTGCCTGGCTCAAAAGATATATAAAAAAAGCTGAAGAGAAGACAAATCTATATCACTACAGTATTCAGAGATTAAGGTCTGCCAGGATCTGGTGAAGAATTGACAGAAGGATAATTGAATATATCTGTAATGTAGTGATGGCTATGTATGTGAAAATGCATTGCATCATGGTCCTAACACAGCTGTGCTTGTTGCATATAAATTGCCTCAAAAACATTTTTTAAAAATAGGTTATCTGGGCATGGTACCTCACACTTTTGATCTAAGTACTTGGGAGGCTGAGATCAAGTAGAATTTAGAGGAAAATCATTTCTCTTTCCTCCTAGCCTTGAGCAGCACTTCCTTGAATTCCTCCTCCTTGTAACTGTTGACCTCTGCTCTGATAATGATAAAGGTTGACAAATACGTTCCTGTAAGCAGAGTCCTGTGGCATCCTGGAATCTGTCTTCTTTCAGGGCTAAGTTGTCAAAAATGATGACTGAGGAAATAACTGCCTTCGTTTTGCTTTTGGAGCTTTGCTTATACCCACTTCCAGTTTTGTGCCAACCCCCTTGGACAACATGTGTAAAAACTAGAGCCCTTCCTTTGTTTGGGGCGCAGGACTTCTAGGCATGAATCTGATGAGTTGATATTCACTGATACAAATTTTGGTATATGCATATGATGGGACGAACACTACTTCACAATAAGAAGGAATACAGGCTCTTCCCTGAGGCAGGCGGGTTGCTGACAGTTCAAGACCAGCCTGGGGGCGCTGGAGAGATGGCTCAGTGGTCTAAAGCACCTACTTGGAACAAACTTGGCAAAGCACAGGGACCACGGTTCGATCCCCCAGCACCACATGCCAGCCAGCCCCGCCCCCTGGTGGGCTGAGCTGGCCACACACACACACA